TTGAGGATAGATGTTCTTGTGATGATGACTTCCAGATTTTGGGGATAATGATAAGTTTGAGTTTTAGAAGTTGATTATTGATTTTCATTAATGTGTTTAAGTCTTTCGCATTATATTGTGTTATTATATTCGAAATGTTGGGTTTTGTATTGATTGGTTCGCTCACATAGGAGGGTAAGTGTGGGTGCCAGTCGCGACTCGATTTGGGTCGTGACACTACCACATCATCATGACTTCCATATGGTATAAAAATATCCATGTGGAAGACTTACATTTGAAGAAGAATAGTCAGGCTAAAAATTATATAAATATATGAGTGTCGTGATCGTCTAAACATTAGGTGGAGATGAGTATCATGACCTACCACGTGATCATGCCACTTAGATGCCATGTGGTATAAAATTATTTGTATGAAAGGCTAATATTGGAAAAGGATAGTCTTTAGAATTTCATGAATTTGCATGGAAGGTCCTTGGAATCTTCTAGTTGTGTTAAGCATTCTAAAAAGGGCTTATTTATAAATATGAGGACTTAAACCATCTCCAACCCATCTGTATTTTACTCTCCATTCTCTATATTTGGAGAGTAAAATAGAGAATGTGTTCTCCAAGCACTTTCTATTTAACTCTCTATTCTTCAATTATAGAGAGGTGAATAGTAGTTCTCCAAATTTGGAACTACTATTCACCTCTATATTTTACTTTTGATTATTATAATTTTATTTCTATTGTATTACTAATTTAATCTTTATCATTTGTAATTATTTTTCAATGCAATATAACATTTAACAAGTTACTACTTCCGTCAAATTAATACTACTTCCGCCAAATTAATCATTTTTTATTTTATTTTTAAAAGAAATTGTCACTTTAAATGTGTAACTTAAAGTTATTTTAATATTAATTATATTATATAAGATTTTTAATTAAGTCTATAATATTTGTAATTATTTTCTAAGTAATATATCATCTAAAACATATTATTGATTTTTAGTTTTTGTGGTCATTTTAAATATGTGATTTAGATTATAATCATTTTTCATTATGAAGTATGCACAAAATTTACATGACAATTCAAACAATCTACTTTGTTATGTGATAGTGATAATTATTAAACTACAATTTCTAAATAACAGGAAAATATTTGATTCAATAGTTCAAAATGGAATATGGGTAGTAAATTAGAATAAGAAATAGTTGGATACAAGATGAAATTGTTAATTTATACAATTTTAGGCAACACATAAAAAATAAGAACAAAAAAATTGGTCATTTGGAACTCCGTAATACATTAATTGAACATTCATGAGAGTAACATAACAATCTAGAAAGTTGAGTATTTATGTAAGATTTAAAATAAATTTAATAATAATACAATATTTATGATGCAATTATATTTTATCAATGATTTTACTTTTATTTGAATTATTTGTTAATATGCATTATATATAATACTTATCGCAATTTATGTTATTTAGACTAAAATATAATTTTATATTAAATGAAGACTTAGAAAAAAAATTGTATTACATAAAGATTATAGAGTGATTATTTTCAAAAAGAAGAAATGATTTACAATGTGAAATAAATAATAAGAATGAAATAGAAATAGAAATAATAATATATATTGAGGAGAGAGAAAAAGTTTCTTTATAGAGAGTAAAATAGAGAATTGGATTGAAGTTGATTGTCTGAAAAAATAGAGAACTCTATATTTAGAAATTAAAATAGAGGATAGGGTTGGATATGCCCTTGTAAAATAATTATTATTTATGTATTATCCTTTTTGGTGTGTACTATAAACAGAAGGACATTCATTTGTAACATAATCAAGCACAAATCAAGCAAATCTTCCTAACTCTTGAGCAATAGAAAACATTCTTAAGCAATTCTCATGTACCTTTCTTCGTTCCCGTAGCAATCCAATATTGAAAGGACTTACTTGAGATTTCAAGATCGTGAAAAAATGTGAGCGAGTTGTCAAGTGTCGCACGATGTGCTTAATCGAAGTCTAAGACTGGGACAATGTCATGACCCTAAACTAGTCATGAGTGGCATCCACACTTAAACTCCTAAGTGAGCGAATCAACAATTCAACCCCGAATTATATCAATAATTCAACTACAAATAACAATAATAATGCGGATACTCAAAACTTATTAAAGTAACCAATCAAAAAAACCTTTAAAATCTATTACATATTATCCCCAAAACCTGAAAGTCATGACATTAAGGACATTTGTTCTCAACATACCAAGTCTAAGAGTATTAAAGACACCAAAATAAATGAATAAGAAAAGTTGTGTTCGAAAACTAAGGACATCATGTAATGTTAAAGAGAATCCAATACGACCTTGAATGAACAACTCACCCTGGAACCTGATGTGCTGGAGATCGGCTAGATTTTAGGTAAAATCGAAGTCATCGGTATGATCCTGCACTCCACGAAACAAAAATAAAGAAAAACACAATTAGAGCTTAGTGCAATGCAACATGTACTGAGTAGATATCATCAGCCGACTTAAAATGGAAATTGATATTCAAAAAGTAGTATAAAATCAACTAAAACTCTCAACAGGTGACAAACAATAAACAATATGAATAAATGACAGCATCACTGAAACAAATACTTAATTAGTCAACAATATCAAGAACATACTTGAGCGCTCATGCCTCCAAACCAAGCGATTTTGGGAATCGAGTTCTTTGAGATTAAATACAATACGTTGTTCATATAGGTTGCCTTTAATGTTACCGTGTCGTAATGTGACACCGATCCAATAATATCATGTTTTAACGTGATACCTGATCCAATAATACCATGCCAGAACATGGCATCTAATCCAATAATATTATTAATTTATCATTTATTATCATTACTTTTCACTTCATTAACAATAATCATCAATCCTTCATTATTCAAGACAACACTTTGTAGAGACAATTTAAAATTTAGGGAAAAGGGTCTGATATACCCCTCAACTTTGTCATTTAGAGCTGATATATCCCTTGTTATGAAAGTGACTCATATATACCCCTACTTGTAAACAAATGGCACACATATACCCTTTTCCTCTAACGGAAATGGAAAAAAAATAATTTTAATCTAAATTTTTATTATTTTTTTCTAAAAAATAAATCCCATATGAGTAAATTTAATCCATGTCAAACATATTTTTTTCGACTTTTTTTTTGTTTCAATGACTAATTTATAATTATTATTTTGATAATCAAATTTATTTATGTTTCACTAATATTCTTGCAAAACTTATTGTAGATGACCAAATTTTTTCTTCAAATACGAAATTAAATTACAATACACACAAAAAAAATAGTTTAATTTTTTATTCTTTAAACTAAGGAATGAAAGAAAACAACAAAACAAGAATAAGAAATTCAAATAATTATAATAAAAGAAGTCAAAAAATAATTTATGTATGAAAAAAAATTAAAATATACCTTAAACTTTGATAGAAGAAACATATATACCCCTAAATAATTTTTTAAAAAAACTTAGAAGTAATAAATATAAATTTAAAATTAATTTTTTAACTTCCGTTAAATGAAGGGTATATGTGAGTCATTTTGTAACGGCAGGGGTATATGTGAGCCGTTTGTATAACGGTAAGGTCATAGATGAGCCACTTTTATAACGAGGGGTATATCAACTCCAAATATCAAAGTTGAGGGGTATATCAGACACTTTTCCCTAAAATTTATGAATTTCACTGTCTCAGGATTTCAGAGCAATCACAAACCATACAATCAAGTACACAGAGAAGCTCACAATATCACTATTAAGAGTCTATTTATCAAATAGAATAAACCATAACCTACCTTCACCGGAGAACCAAAACTAACCAAACGACTTCTCCGATGATTTTTCTTTCCTCAATGCCTCCAAACCTTTTCAATCAATCAAGTATTATATGAATAATTTGTAAGTTAACGAGTCTCATATTATTCTATGTCTAGCCTAGATTCAAAAACTTACCAAATTCTATAATTATTTTCTTAAAGTTAAAATCTAAGGATAAGTCTTAATTCGTTCAATTGGCATAACTTTAATGATATTCAAATAACATAATGCACCTCATATTTAATTATCTATCTCAATAAATTAAAATTTTAATTATAGTTGAATAATATATAAGAAAAATCTCTACATCAAAAAAAGGATAGTCACTGGCGTTAAACTAACAGTACACTAGGATACATCATTTTATTGCCTGAATTAAACTTGGTTTTTATTCTTAAATAACCACATACGTAAGACATTATTACCTCATCATAGCCATCATCACGATAATCATCATCCACTACCAATTTTCTGCCCCCAAACTACTAACCCCAAAACGCTACTCCGAATCTTTCCATTATTACTGTTACCCAATTTAAATAATAAACTTCTTTCCAATTCCAATTACTAAATTGATAGCTATATTCCTCCAACAAACAATAATAATTAAACACTATACGGGTCCGATCGAATTGCAAGGTAAAGAACTGCAATCGCAGTAGACACATACACATAGTACCTACCCAACAGTATAATAATAATGATAATTAGGGCTGTTCACGGGTCTGTTTGAATTGGTTATTGGTTAAAATCAAAATCAGACTAACTTAATCGATTTTAAAATTATCAAAATCAAACCAAGCAAAATATAATATATATTCATCAAGTTCGATTTGGTTTGATTCAGTTATTCAGTTTTTAACCATGCACAAAAGTAAAAGAAAAAATTTATTCAAAATGTGAAAAAAGTGACAACAACCCATACAAAACAAAAAAAAACTAGTTAGAATGACTGAAATTATTGAACTTTCGATAACTGAATTTTTTACAATTATGTAACGACCCGAGAGTACCCCCTAACCATAACCAGCGTATTTCACCTCTCGGAGGTCTCAAACAATCCGCATTGATCTTTCATTGCATATAATACTGAAAAATAAGTAAGAATTTAAAACTTTATTCACACACGAAGAACACTTTCATTAATGAGCAAACAGAAGACTTTGTAAAACATCTAACTTTACAACATGTATGTCTCACAAACCATCTAATACTTTAGAGTTGGGACTAAGCCCATATAAAAGTTAAAAAAAGACTAAATGACATAAAGGAACATGTAGGGTATTGTCCTTTCATCTATGATGACTCACCAAGTCTTCATCTTCAACCACTTAGAAACCTAGTCAACCTCCATAGCATACCATATCTCCGATCCCTTCAATTTAGTCAAAAAGGGAAAAGAAGGAGTTAGCACATTTAAGCATTAAGTATGAAAGCTAAGGGAAATTTTGTATAGAAACATGCTTTCATGACATTTTGATAAAAAAAAACTTCATCATAAGAGTTTAAGAGACACAACACAAGTCAACAATCACATATAAGACATATTAAGCTAACATCAACATATAACACTTAATTCCATATTCAACAAGTAAGTCTTTTCAGCATTTAGACTCTCTATATAAGGTTACTTTAAGACCCACCTAAGTAAAACATGAAGAGACCGCTCATACACCCTCTTCAAGCACACCTAAGTGTTCCTCAAAGTTACCCTAGATAGGAACCTTTCTATTCAACATACTTTCACTAAGTGAACATTATTCATTTAAGACATCTAAGAGACAACTAAAAAAATAGGGGACTTCACATAATGGTCGTGGAAGACCTTGAGAACTCACTTTAGCATATTCAAAGTCTACTAGTTCCATGTGTAGATAATGTCCCATTCCACTACCTACACGTTGTAGAATCTATCCAATAACTAGAGCGCACATCTCACATGATGAGAATATGTATTAACCGACATAGACCATACTAGTAGGTATGGAATATGGTGTCATAAGAACCCACACCATGAAATCTTGTACTTGCCAAGGTAGAACTAAGGACACATCCCATGTAGGCACATGGTTTAGGGGATATCAAGGGCTTCTTTATACTCTAGTCTCATACTTCAAGTAGAGGTACTACCACTAGCATATCCACTTTGTGATTTGCCTAGGTTCTGATAGAGTAAGTTCATTCACATAATAATATTTGAGAAGGTACCATATCTAAGTCCTAGAAGGGGTCCACAAGGGCTGCCGATCAAGGTTTATTGGGATAGCTCTTATGACTTTCTTAGAGATGGTTTCATGCCGTTCCAGCCAACCTACCTCTAAGTCCATCATTTCACTCAAGAAGGAGGCACCATTACGATCTACCACTTAAAGACTTCATTATTAACCTTTTTTTGCATATTCAAGGTTTCACATTCTTATCTTTTTTTTTCTTCATATTCAAGGTTTCACATTAGTCATTCATAGAAGGGTACCACTTTAGGTCTACTGATCCTAGGCTCTCATTCATTCATGACACGAGTGCCTAAGCCTACCAAGTGAAGATATCACATTCCCACAACTTTCATGTATCAAGTAGGGACCACTAGGTCTACCTAAAAAAGACACCATATCAACATATAAAGGCTCTATCATCATTACATACCAACATTTAGAGGAACATGCTTTCATTCACATCATCACATAGCTTTATACAAGATCACCTCGAGATCACATGAACGCCTTCACATTTTGAGTATTACACAAGATAACCCAAATATCACATAGTAACTTCACTTTATGCATTATAACACCTGGCACATAGTCACATTACTTCATTTAACCAACTTCACATTATACCTTCACATATACCATAACATGATACTACTACAATTCACATAATAATACCGACAAGGACATGATCACAATCATAAAAAAGAAGTAAACACCGTCACCATAAGTGGATCATAACATACAAGAGCAATCCTATATCAATTCTACATTAGTAAGGGAATTAGGTCAACTTAACCTCTTCCAGTAGCCAAGATCACCATTCCTTAACATCTCCAACAATTCATAATATAATAACATAGGTAATAGAAATCAACAATACAACATGAACTAAACCCAAATATATCAACATTAGATTAGATCATAAGCAATAAACCCACTTCATAAGCCAAAATTATGGATTTAAAAAGATTAAGGGTTCATGGATTTTTTCATTGAGAAACATCAATCTAACATCAATACTATCGTATCGAATGATTTGAAACTGTTTCATGCAAGAATCCTTGAGTTAGAGTGAAAATTGGACTAACCATAAACTTTGAACACTTTGAAATCATTTTGAAATTGGCTCTAAGGTGATAGCTAACCTTGAATTGAGAACTTCCATGCCTTATTGAAGACCTAGGCACGAAATTAGGGTTGAAACCTTTGAGAAAGATCCTCTTCCTTGAAGCTTGAAGGTTTCTCAATGTAGGATTGTAGTAGAGAGAGAATTTAGAGAGAAGGAACTTCTATTTATTTTTTGTTCTAATTGAGTGTTGGGGTTTTAATTGGGGAATGAGTGTAAAATAAACTAAAATAAATACATAATACACCCCCAAAATACCCAAAACACTCCTATATTAGTTGGACCTTTCAAGTGAAGTCCAACTTGACTTTTATTGACGCAACCAAATTTGGGACACGACTGCGCGTCTTGGAGAAATTCTCAAATTTTGTTTCTTAAAATTAATTTGAGGTAGAAAGGTTTGTAACAAGCCCACGATGCAGAGGAAACTTTTTGCCTCTATGTGTTGGGCGTGCGTTGCGGATGCACCTCCAAAAAGGGTGTTGCCTGCACGCTTCCTTGGCAGCCTCTTGGCCAAAGCTTGGGTCCTCCTCAAGGACCATTAGGTTGGTCCTTGGGATTCGCACCAAACAACACATAAATAATGAACAACATACTAAGACACACCAACACATAAAAGACTAGTTTTTGAACGTCTTGGTCATCCCATGACGTTTGACTTTAAAAATCTTAAACACTGACTTCAAAAGCTATTCTTCATTATTTTAACAAGTTATTAACTCAAGAAACTCACATGAAACTCTAATTTATCCTATTTCATTTTGAGGGTCGTTACAAATTAAGGCTTTAAAATTCACTATATTGGTTTTAAAAAAAGAGACATTAACATTTTCAGTCCCACAAAGAATTGTCATAGACACTCTTATACATGAAATCAATAATATATATGTTATCACCTTGGGATTTTTGTTTTCAATAAGTAATTATAAAGAAATTACAATGAAAACATATATAATATTTTTAAAATTGTTCATACAAATATTAAGTATGTATATTAATAAAATATATGTATATAATTCACCGATTTGATTCGTTTTTTCTTTAATTTTTTTGAATAAAATCATAACCAAATCAAATACTATTGGTTTTCAAAAATCTAAAACCAAATCAATCCAAACCCAAATAAAATTGGTTTTATTTTATCAATTTGGTTTGATTTTTATGCAACAGTGAACACCCCTAAAGATAGTATCATAATTCACACTAATACGAAATTTTGGCGGATGATTTACATGAAGTCTAAGTTGCTCACATTCTTCTATGTTCACACATCTGTGTTTTCTCCTCTTCCGTTCTTTTCTTTTCTTCTATAGATTATTTTTTATCCTAATTATTATATGACTAATTATAACAATGATGAAAGTGACCCACTATTAATTTTAATGTTATCTATTTAACCACCCACTAAATTAATTATTAAAACTATCTAACTAAATTCATAAATACTGTTACGAATAGTTCAAAATACATATTTAGATACTATCCAAAAGTATTTTATGAAATAAAAAGCTCTACTAATTAAAACGATAGAAATGGGTCATTACAGACAATGCGTTCCTCTTTAGAACCATTCAACTTAATGATGTTAGGTTTTGTAGTGCTACTGTTAACCAGTGAAGTTCTCATTTTATTTTCCCATACTTACTAAACCCACCTATTTTTTTCTTCTCCTACTACCAGATCATCCTTTTTCTAACAACTTCAGTGGCTTATCAAATGAGCTATTTAGATCATCATTCCAGATTGTAGATATGATATCCTACTTAATTTCTCGCTCACATTATTATTTTTTCAATCATAATAACGACTTATTAGGAAACACTCATCCTATGATCACCAGAGCAAACAATAACAATCACAAACTGATGCAAAAATCATGTCATACCTTGTTATAAAGCAGTCATGGAAGAAGAAATTCAAGCTTTATATAAACAAGGTACGTAGAAGCTTGTTCTATCTATTGCAATGCTAAATGAAATTCTTTAGTATAGCTCAATTTCAATGGGCCATTACAAAAATATAAAGCACATCTCATTTCTCAAGAATTACTTCCTGATCAGACATTGATTATACTGAGACCTTTTAATTGCTTAACAACTACATATCGAGTTATTTTAACTATAATTGTCAGAAGAAATTAAACTTTGTGTCAATTAGGTATCAACAATACCTTCTTGCATGTTTATAAAATGAAAAAGTTTTATCTGGATCGATTGAAAGATTTTTTTACCACACAAGTCCTACATATGTCTGCAAACTCACGAAGATAATTTATGGTCTTAATTAGGCACCACAAGCTTGGTATTCAAAAATACATAGCTATCTTCTAATCTTGAGTTTTCAAGTTTCTCATAATGATCATTGTCTTTTCATTTACAGTCAGTTTGATATCACTATTCTCTTAATCATTTATGTTGATGACTTGATTGTTACTTTGAGTAATTAAAATGTTCTCAATCAGTTTGTTTTTGAGATTCGGGTAACACTTTTTTTATGAACGAAATTCAGCCTGATGTGGACCTCAAGGTCACACAAGTAGTTATTGTGCTGACAAGAGCTATTGGACCTAGAATAACAATAGGACCAAGTTAATTTGGGATTCGGGTTGAGTAGCTGGCATGAAATGGTTCTATCAAAAAGGGTAGTGGTATGTGAATTAGGGATTATGCAAATTCTTGAAAAATATGTCTAGTCCACTCATCCCCTTATTTTGAGTCTACTTCTCATCTTCAATCTTGTTTTATTTTTAATTACTTGTTATTTCTATATTTTCATTGTAAGTAGTTTAATTATTACAACTAGAATCGTAAGATTGTAATCGTATTTTAGTGCTCTTATTAATGCGAGGATTTCGATTTGTTACATTCATACTTTCATTGAGGGCACTCTAATGGAAGTGGTAGTTTTAGATCGATTTAGTGGCAACGCTGATCCAGAGGAATGGATTTACAAGGCAGAGCGGTACTTTACTTATCTAGACTTCTCTGAGGAACACTGATTGCCTCTTCCTTCCTTCTATCTTGATGGTGAGGCCCTTGAGTGGTTCCGTTGGATGTTTCGCAACAAACAATTTTTTGATTTGAATAGCCCTGCATTTTTCGAAACGAACAGATGCAAAGTCTCTTGAGGTGGATGCTCAACCTACTAGAATTCTTGTTTTGCTGCGGAAGATGGAGGATAAATGTTCTCCACAGGTTCTAGTAGAAGATGTTTGGATTAGTACTGCTACAGTCCTAAGCAGAGAGATTTCTCCTCCTTTGGCCGAAGAAAATTCAGTTGTGTTGATAATGTTGAGAGTCATCCATAGTTGTTTGGCACTGTTAGGTAGTGGAGCATGATTAATTTTAGGTTTTCCTATTTATTCTCAATTTTAGGCTTTCCTATTTATTCTCTATTTTAGGTTTTCCTATTCATTCTCTATTTATTCTCTGTAACAAAAATTACTCTGATTTATTAATATAAATATACCTTATCGCTGTGGAAGTTTACTCACGGGGTGTTACCACGAAATATTGGATTTTCTCTTTCTCTCTCTAGATCTCTCATCTCTTTCTCTTTAAAGTTCTTGTGTTTTTCATTCATCTGATGTGTGTGCGTGAATTTGATCCTAACAACTGGTATCAGAGCTAAGGAGATTCAACACGATCAAAAAAGATGGATAGTTCGAAGCTTGGAATCGAGAAGTTTGATGGATTCGATTTCAATTTCTGGAAGATGCAGATCGAAGATTATTTGTACCAGAAAGATCTTCACGAACCGTTGACCGGGGTGAAGCCGGAATCCATGACGGAGGAGAAGTTGAAACTCAAGGATCGCCGGGCTCTAGGGTTGATCCGGTTGACTTTGTCAAGAAACGTGGCGTTCAACATCGTGAAGGAGAATACTATGTCCGGTCTATTGAAGGCACTGTCAAACATGTATGAAAAACCATCGGCTATGAACAAGGTATATTTGATGCGTAGATTGTTCAATTTACAGATGTCTGAAACTTGATCCGTTTCAGATCATATAAATGAGTTCAATATGATTGTGAGTCAACTCAATTCTGTGGATATTAATTTCGAAGATGAAATAAAGGTGTTGATTTTGATGTCATCTCTGCTCGAGTCTTGGGATACTGTTGTTGTTGCGATTAGCAGTTCCGTGGATCTGAGAAACTGAAGTTTGATGAAATTCGTGATGTTGTTCTTAGCGAAAGTATTCGCAAACGAGAAGTGGGAGATTCATCGGCCAGTGCTCTCAGCGTTGATCGAAGGGGGAGAAGTAAGATAAAAAGGCCAAAATCAACATGGTCGATCAAAATCAAAGAATCGGGGAAAATCACTGAACAGATCAAACGTGACTTGTTGGAACTGTGGAGAAAAAGGTCACTTTCGGACGAACTGTACAAAGCCAAAGAAGAAACAGAATCATAAATTTGGAGATGACAATGATTCTGTAAATTCAGCTGAGGACATTGGGGATGCTCTAATCCTTAGTGTGAACAGCCCGGTTGAATCACGAATTTTGGATTCAGGTGCATCTTTCCATTCGTCTCCAAGCAAGGAGTTGTTCCAAAACTTCAAATCTGGAAATTTTGAAAAAGTATATCTTGTTGACAATAAAGCCTTAGAGATTGAAAGAAAGGGGGATGTTTGCATAAAGACCACCTCGCGAAACTAGTGGACATTGGAGGATGTAAGATATATTCCTGGCATCAAGAAAAATCTGATCTCTGTTGGTCAGTTGGATAGCACGGGATATGCAGCAGAGTTTGGGAAAGGTTCGTGGAAGATCGTGAAAGGTGCTATGGTAGTAGCTCGTGGCACCAAATCTGGAACCTTGTACACCACTACATGGGTGTATAAACATGGCCGCTGTTGCTTAAGGTGCTTCCGGTTCATGTCTGTGTCACAACAGACTTGGACACATGAGTACTAAAGGAATGAAGATGCTGGTTGCAAAAGGAGCATCAGAGGGTCTGAAGTCTATTGATATGGGTCTTTGCGAGAGCTGTGTTATGGGCAAACAAAAAAGAGTAAGCTTCACAAAGACTCCTAGAGAGCCAAAGAAAGTGCGGTTGGAAATGGTTCATACAGATGTTTGGGGACCATCTCCAGTATCATCACTTGGAGGATCCAGATTTTATGTTACCTTCATTGATGATTTCAGCAGGAAGGTATGGGTTTACTTCTTAAAGAATATGCCA